ATTCCTTTTATGTCTCTCATTAAATTATTATCAAATATTTCCATTATAGGGTTAGTACATCATTAAATGAAGACAAACTTAACTTATTTAAACCAGAAAAAGAAAAAAAATTCTTATCCTGTCAGATATTGAGAACTAGGTCTGATATATTTGGGAATAAAAAAAGAATAAATATCTAAATGTTAAAACTTAGAAACCTGGTATTTGTTATTTTATACATGAATAATTGTTTTATCAATCCATTTCATTTATATGTGATTGTTCCAATACATTAGACGTATCACCTAAATAACGTCTAAAATAAGCTGTGTTTTGTCGAAAATATCCAAGACGAAATGCCTTACAGTTAAGTTTAAAATTTAAGCTAAATGGTATGCCACATCAGGATCAGCGAGGTCCATCTGTGTATAGGAATATAGGTTTTATTTCAGTTGGAGAATGCATATTTTCCATTATTTTCATTTTAACATTTGGCCGGATTATGGCGGTATTTTTTAGGAAAAACGACGTCTTTATTAAATAGAGGTTGTATCTATAATTTGCTGAAAACAAAAAAACAGTTTAAATAACTCTCATTTTGAATTAATTTATTAAATATTTTTTAAAATGAGATATAGTTTTATTATGACCCAAAACCTTTAGACAATTTAATGTTTAAAGTTCTATATATATATATATATATATATATATATATATATATATATATATATATATATATATGTGTGTGTGTGTGTGGTCTGTATATGTCTGTGTATATATATATATATGTGTATATATATATATATATATATATATATATATATATATATATATATATAGAAATTTCTCCGATTTAACCAGTAGAGAAGACAATATTTATGAATAAAAAAAAAAAAATGACACGGATAACTTGTAATTGCGGCGCGTGTCCTCCAATATTGACTATTTCGTACCAAAATTTGAAAAAAGTCCACATTGGACGAAAGGCGTCAGCAATTACTAGTTTTCCTATTGTCATTTTTATTCATATATATATATATATATATATATATATATATATATATAATTATTTAATTATTTATTTAAAAATATGATTCCAACGCTACATAAGAGTTCTCATGTTTCAAAACAAGGCGAAAACTAATATATATATGAAATTATATGACCAAGTGGAAAAAGTTTACTTGTGACGTATTTTATTTTTTCCACTTTTGTCATACAATTTTTCCCATATACATATACTGTTCTTGATATATAAAACATATATCGTTATCTCATATATATATATATATATATATATATATATATATATAGCGATAACAAAGATAGTGTAAAGTCAGAAATGCTGTCAGTGGAAGACTTTGAAAAAGATATTTAAGGCAATCAGTCTTTGCAATAAAAGTGCTCGATATAAAGGTTGATCATTAATAGTATTGAAAAAAGACAAATTTTATATTTGTATTAATCCTATATACAGGGTGCGATGGGTAAACTGTTGCCATTTTATATTTTAATTTCAGCGCATGCGATAAGTGCTGCTCTGAGTCAAGAGGGTGGCTGCTGGAAGATTTCTTTGCAACATGATTCTGCCATGCTACATAAGCAGGAGGGCGGTCGTCATAGCTGACCAGACAATTTCTGCGACCATATCACCCTTACATCTGGCCACTAACTCCCCCAGACTGCAACTCCCTTGATTATTATGTTTGGGTCGCAGTTGAGCGGGGACCAACAAATCTCTTTAATACTAAAGATGAACTGAAGACGAGGATTATGGCAGCGTTCAACTTAAACAAGGAGATTGTCCCAAAAGGTTACAGGAGATTCGAATTCGTCTGGGGCCGTGGTTGAACAATGGCGATTATATTGAATAAATTTACTCTTTAGCATTTCAAGATATTTTGTTGTAATTTTGATAAATATATCTGATAAAATGAGATGTCAGTGTTATTTTTCATTTTTTTGCCTAATTTAGACGACAATTTATCCATCATTATATATATATATATATATATATATATATATATATATATATATATATATATATATGTGCGTGTGTGAAAATAGGAAAAAGCATTGGGTAAATAATCCAAAAAGTTCTTTAGTATTTTGTTATTATTTTTTTAAAAAACAATTGCTCGATACAAAAGTAGAGCCCTAAATATAATTGTTTATTTTAAAATATGATTCCAACCTACATAATAGTTTCTAATTTTTAAAACTGTTTCAGAAAGCAGAAAACTTCAGTATAATTATTTGAATTAATTATTTGGTATAATTCAATTTAATTCAAATAATTATATTGATTTCAACTATTATAACGTTGAATATATATAAATATATATATATATATATATATATATAAATAAATAATGAATTTTTTATCTTTATTATTTACTACTATTACAAAATGTCATTTTGTGGATACCCATTTTGAGTAGACGACTGCTCAAACATAGGTTTCCACAAAATACCGTTTTGATAGTAGGTTATATAACACTATTAACTAAAATAACTTACTGTTCTTGTCTATACCGAGTCAAGCTGCCTTAAATAATTGTTACGGACTCTCATAACTCAGACATTTAAATCTACAAATTCTTATTCGGCAAAGTGTCAAGTGTATAAATAGACGAGAACAATCGATAACTGATTAATAGCAGAACAGTCAATAAGACTTGATATTTAAATCGCTCTTTTTTCTGCAAAGTCGTATTTTAGTAGAGCCTCGTTCTGGAAGAGCAGTCTGAATCAATCGTGAACAAACTGATAAAAAGAAGCAAGTCGTTCTTGAACGACGCATAGTGAACTGGAATTTCGGTTCAAATAACCTGATATTCTTTGCTGCTTAGTGCTATCAGAAAACAGCGAGGCCGTAAATATTGGATTGGAACAAAGGTTCATAGCGTTTTACAATAAGTGCCGTTTGAACATCTGATTTCATTTCATACGTGACTGAAATTTATGACATATGTACATATTCTGAAAGGTAATATTTTTAATGCGCCTTTCTCTACTATTCGTGTTTGGTTTTGTGAATTTGAATGTTTCTTATGCTGAAAGTTAAAATGGATAAAAAACTGAGATGCATTTTTCATCATTTTGATGCTCATTTTATTTCCGGAAATGATAAAACGTTGTACAAATAGCAAAACAAAAGAAGATATGCCGTTTACAGAGATGATGCCATAAAGAGAATTATTTCTAAGTGGTTTCTTTACAAGGTTCAAGAAGGAAGTCTGATCTGGAAAACCACCAATAATTCGTCAAGATTGCTGTCGTTGATGATGATCAAATCGGAATTTTTTTTCTTAAAAATGATGAACTGGTCACACAACACGAGAAACCTTTGCTTTTCTATTGATCATTGTTCATTTCTGAGTTTGAAACATTTTTTTTAAATTTTCACGACGTTTGGCATCATACATTCACTATACACTTTATGCTTTTCATCTTTCTCTATTGCGTATCCTGTTTTTTAACGAAACAATCATTATGTATTGAACAAGCGATTTTTAATGATCTTTACAATTTTATTTGGAACCTAAAGGTCTTTGTATTCCTTATCCTCATCCAGTTAATCTCCCAAAAGCCGGCCTGAATTCAAATTCGGTGGACTGGAAAATATAACCATAATATCACCTCACCAAAATCAAGCACCATTTCAGTAACAATGCTGTTGTTTCCAGGGAATTTCCAAATATTCATCATTTATAAGCTTTCATTATTTCAATCGGAATTGATTATCGCCTTCCATCACACACACACACACACAGGTGAAAAGTGAAATTGTTAGAAAAGTCTGTACAAAAACTTGGTGTATATTGAAAATAAGATTTGTGAAATGTGTTTCTTGCACCTATTAATAATACATCTATTTTTAGAGTAATATTAAAATAAAATTGTTTTATGATAGGATCTTGGGTTTTATAAAAGGCTTCAAAACTGGTTATATATGTGGGTACAGTAAAAGAATTGACATTTTCATTGTCAAATATAAAGTCAGATTAAATAAACATTTAAAACAAACTTTTGTGAAACCAGTTTTTGAGATCATTTTAATGTTAGTTAGTTTTATATAAACAATACATATATTTTTTTTTTTAACAAATTTTATTTCTCTCTCTCTCTCTCTCTTTCATTTATATATATTTATGTCACCTATATAAAAATCCTGGCTGGCTACATTACTATATCCATTTAAGTTCTGAGTGTGTGTGCAAACTAAAATTTTGAAAAAATATATACTTCTTTTATGTGCCGTGTCCGAGACTCAGGACGTCCACTTTATATATAATTCTTTACCTATTCCCTGTAGAAATAGTTATTTATAAATGCTGTCAACATGAGGCATTTCTCCTACACTTTTGTTTCTCATCCCAATCCACTACCCAAAATCTGATCAACTAATTAATGAATTTATCTCAAGAACTTTTCCTCATTTTAATGTCCCAATTATAAATTCAGTTGAGAAATTCTGGCAGAATATTTATTATTTTTCCAACCTTTTTCATAATTGTTATATTTCCTGACATATAAGATTTTATTTCCATTGATAATTCAAATTACTCCTCATTGTCTTTGAAGCTGATTAACCTTTTGGATCTTTCAATGCATGCAATAATGAATGTATCTCATCACATGAAAATTTATTCAAGGTTGAAATTAAATATTTTTGGAAGGAAAAAGAAAGTCCAGAACACAATGTTATATGCCTAAATTTGTCTTATATAAACAAACAATGGCTTAAACTTATTTTGGCAAAACAAGTGACAAGTCTTTCTTTCCAACCATTTTACATATAATTTTTTTAAACTGAGTCATTAACGAAAATCAAATTTTTCTCTAAATGTTTATATAAAATTACATTTTTCATTTCAATAAATTCTGCTACTGAAAATTTTTTTCCTTTTGTTATTGTTTTCAGTTGAAATGCTGTGTCTACTGGCCAAAACTGAATGAAATAGAAAATCATGGAAAATTTCAAATCCAATGTGTTCAAGAGAAACATTCCATGGTCTATGTTTACCGAATTCTGGCAATCAAGGAGGTAAGAAGTAATGCCAAGAACTATTTGAAGCTTGAAGGAAAATTAATGATTCACTCTTGAACCTCCAAGTAATATTTCAAATCCCAAGTCACAAAAAGCAGAAGTTAACTTTTCTATATATTTGCTTAAAGGTCACAAAAAGAGAGCATTATGCTTGATGTCAAGCCACTTTCTATTTATAGAATTTGTATTATATATATTGACTATTGTCATCATTTTTGTTGATGAGAACAATAGTCCTAATATAAATAGTGTAAATAAGATAATTCTTCATTCCTTAAATTCAGACAAAAGAAAACATGCTTACAATTTATTTTCTTTTTGTAACAGTTTTAAAATATTCATGATGAAATGGAAAAAATATGAAAAAAAATATGAAATTGATAATAATTTTGCATGGATAGGTAGATTAATGAAATGAGTTATTTTGTTAATAAATTTTATTTCAACATAAAAATATGTAATCAGCATATTTTTTTTTTTTTTTTTTTTTTTTTTTTTTGGAGTTGGGGAAATAAAGGTATTTTTTTCAATTTCCTTTCATTTTTTTAAGTAGATGCTATTTTCATTTCAGCTTTTAAACACCAATACAAAAATTAAATCATTATCAATGTGAACATAAATGCAGTTCAAATACTATTATTTTTAAGTTCTAAATTAGACTGCAAGTTGCTTTATTTTTTGTATTAGAACCATTTTAATGGAATTGTTCTAACAAAAATCTTGCTATGATGTATTTGTTTTGTTTCTTTTACAGTAACAAACAAAATTACAAACATATATCAAATCATAAAGATATAGATAACAATAACAAGATTGAAACAAATAGAGTTAATGGAATGAATTTCTTCAGGACAAAAATATTTATATTGACATAAAGCACAAATTAAAGGCTTCAGCAAATATTCTTATAAAAAGACTTTTTCTGTACACTGTTAATCAACAAATCATTGATTTGAGCTTCAGGTGTGAAAAACAATTATTTCTCTTCTTTTAAGCAAGGGAATGGCACTGATGTTCCACATTTCTACTGTATCTTATCATTGGCTATAAAATCATATTACTTGATTGTTTGAAAGATTTACTAATTATTTAATGAACAGATTTTCTCATGAACATCAACAGGATGTTATAAATTTTCAAAATTTATCACTGACTTCAAATGGACTGAAAACACATGACTATTAAAGACAAGTCCTTGCAAAAAAAAAAAACTTTAAAAGTATGTTTTAGTTTCTCAAACCATTGTCTTGAAAATAATTGAAATTGATAAGTTTTTTTGGGAGGAGATATTTTACTCACTTGTAAAAATGTTTTGACATTAATAGCTGAGATAATTTCCAAAGGTAAAAATCTGTTATTGAAGATCTTAAGAGGGTCAAGCCAAATTTCCACTGGGGCATCTTAACCACACTAAACCAAGGAGTTGAACACGTGCATACAAAATTGAAAAATAAAATGGACAACGCCCGAATAAGTCACAATATGATGATTATATCAGAAAAAAAATATTTACAGTTCTTTCTTTGTTCATTTTCTTCTTTTCCCAACTTGTTCTAATAACTGGCGACAGAACGAAAATTGCAGAATCTTCAAGTAATGTGATTTGTACTTTCAAGGATAGCACAAGGTTATTCGTCAGAGTTTTTCTTTATCAACAACTAGTTTTAACTTCAAAGTACTGTGGTTTGTATTTTCACGGACAGCACAAGGTTATTCGTCGGAGTTTTTCTTCATCAGCAGATAATTATTATTATTATCTTCATCAGGTTGGCAAACAGCGTTATATCAGAAATCTCTTAAATCCTCCAACCACCTTCATCTGCAACTTCATTGGCAACTAACCCCAAATCCAACTCCAAATGGCTTTGGCCCATGTGGGCAGTTGTATTTATGGGTGTCACTTTCAACTGGTTTGGTGCGGGCGAATAGGTGGGTCTTATGCAAATTTCTCATAATTCAACCAGTTTTCTTTCGTTTTCTATTTCACATTTCCATTTTTGGAAGATCTCCCCACTTCTTCAGGAAGAGCCATTATATGATGTCAGCCTTTCTGATGTCATCTTCTGTTTTAAATCTGTTTACAATTGTAATTTTTTTCCCAGGGATATTTTGGCTGATAATTTTCTCCGTCAAGCCAGACATGGCTCAACAGCCAACCTTAACCTTTGGTCTCTGATCCTGCACCTGTTTGATGAACTGCATTGTTTAACTTTTTCAACAAAATTCATACATCTATTCCCATATCCTGGGAAAATAATTCTCTTTCTGACAAAAATTTAAATCATTTTGTTTTAACCCTTTTTGTCCATACACCATCTTAAATATTGTTACAAATGCACTCTTATGAAATACTACTAGTACTAAATTTAAATACATTAGAATGATCAGTCTAGTCTCCTTTGAAAATAAAATAATCATACAAAATATATACTTTTATAGACAGGACGTTCAAGACAAGCATGATAAAGCTTGGGATTTTTTTCTTTTTTTATCTTAAGAATTCCTGATATTTCAACAATTATCATCCAATTAGTAGTCTCACCAAATCACCATTCTGTAACTTCATACTTTTAAAAGTTTAAACAAGGCTAGTGCTCTGTTACAATAGATTCAAATAAGATCTCTACATAAAAAATACACATTTATCAATTCCTCAGAGAAATGTCATAATTTAGATGATCTGATAGAGGCTAGAAATAAAATCAAAGTTTCATTCAACTAATTGTTATGTACAACTGCTAAATGAAAAGGTCTGTCGCAAGCTTTTGATATCACTTTTAGGTCAAATGACAGCTGCTGTATTTGATCATATTATTATTTATAAGAAATATAAACTCACATGCCTTATGCATTTTCATATTATGCCATCATATTTAAAAAGGCTATTACAGCATCTTAATAAACTATAATTCTAAAGATTTCATATATGTTAAGTGCATAAAAAGAGTGGGTGTATAAAGGACACAATGCAGTTTAAATATATCAGACAATAATAAAAAGTAAAGATATTGTTGATAAAAGACATTCTGCAGAGATTGGGTTGTTAAGCTATAAATCTTATTGTATGACAATCTTTGAGAGAGACACTTTGAGTGAACTTTTGGTAATGGTAGCAGAGGTTCTTACAAATATTTATCAGAAACTTTGGAAATAAATGAAAAGAATCAAAGGTATAAATAAATAATACACATTTATTTGACTTTGATTGTAGTCAGTCTTCGATAATTTTTGGTAGTGAATGTTAATTTATAAGTCAGATTGTGACATATAAATAATGTAAATTCCCTCCTATATTTAAAGATTAAATTATTCTTTTATTTTAGTATTCTGTGAGAGAAAAAGATTTGTACATCATTTTCAATGCACCATATGGCCGGATCATGGTATCCTAGAGGAACCAGCATGTTTTCATTGAATTCCGAAATAAAGTACAATTTTCACCATCTTCAAAACCACCTTTTGTAGTCCCTGCTGGTAAAAAAACTTACATTACATTTAATAAGCAATGTTTATTATATATTTTTATATTTTATAACTGATAAGAGTATATCTCTGTTGGAGTGTTGATCAAAATATAAATGACTTCATAAGTTTTAGGACAATTTGTTTATTTTGAAAATACAGCTGATTAAAAAAGTTCATTTTAATTTAATATTCAAGGCTTTTAACATTTTGCTAGTATAATAATTAATAAATGGAAAGTTTTTAAGATTATAAAAACAATGCAGTCCCTAATCCACAGATTAGAAAAAATGACAAAACCTTCAACATATTAAAATTATTAACATCATTAAAATAAATTAAATTATTTTAAAAATTCATATTTTCTTAATAAAATCCATCTGGAAATTCAATGATGGACATTAAATTATCAAACAACAGACTTTCAGAACAAACAATAAATTGACAATAATTGAATGCCATAGAAGGTCTATCATTGTTTCAAAACTATAACTTAGCTTTGATTTGAAACATCCTTTTTAATAACGTAAACATGCCTTGCAAGAAAAAGTTTCCTTTTTTTTAGAATGGAATTTAGAATTAAACTGATATCACACTAAAGGCCTTTCCATTCAATAAATAGCAGCCCCAGTGTGACACCAATTTTAGTATTTACCATATTATAATTAACAAAAGATGAAGGTCATTAAAAAAAAAAAAAAAAAAAACAGCAATTATATAGCTAGCAGCTTAGGAAGATGATTATTTATTGAAATTTCAAAGTATGGATGCTTCCTTTTTAATGCCTTTGTTTTTATTTTTTCTAGATAATTGTTTTCAAATTAATAATTATATTTTTTATTATACATAATTGTTTCTTCTTCATATTTATTTCAAAATATGTAATGGCTGCAAACCAGCATGCATCTATTTATTTACCATCATGTCATGTGACACAATTTTCAAGCCATACAGATTAGTTTTACAATCTCTTGCCCACATAGGGGCTTCATCTATAATCACAATCACAAATCCCATAATCCATCAGAGTCATAGGGGCACCACCTGTACTGCAGAGTTCAACCATCTCAAGGCCAGTTTTGAATTAAAAATTTCCTTTTCCTAGACTAGTTACAACCCAAAGATATAGAACCCAGTCTGTCCTGCTATTTACCCAGAGATGGGAGGAGAAGAAGAGGATTCATACCTTTCACAAGTATATTAGCATGTAAATGAATGGTAATGGATCCAACTGGAATTTGAACTCTGCTCTCTGACTCCTCAATCTGAGCTGCCATCCATTACTCCACTGTGCCTCTTTCATCTATAATAGTAGATGAGAAACATCTGAGATATTTGTTTATAAAAGAAAGTTCTAATGCAGTGTAGTGAATTGTACTATAAATATATGTTGTGTTATGTATATTTAAATTTATTTAATCATGTTGTTTTAATGTATTATGAATGATGTTTATTATTCTTCACATAGATCATAAGTTGGAATATAATATGTAAGTGTGCGTTTATATACACAGATTCATATAAAGAACTAGCAGTAGAGCCCAGCGTTGCCCGGGGATATAACAGTAAGAGATAGATCGAGTATCCACCATCATAAAGACTGAAAAATAAAATTGACAAAGATTATTGTTTAAGGTCAATGGACACGCATGTCTTAATTATTTTTTTTTTTTTTTACGAATTGGTCAAACCCAAACTCAAACAAAAACATTGTTTTTAATCGTTATGAGTCTACTGATTGAATAGAATTTTATTATAAACAATTGTCTTGTAAATGGAATTTTTAAAGCATTCTGAATGTAAAAATAAAGAAAAAAGTGTGCAAGACAATAAGAAACACTACATACCAAAAAAAAGTGAAGTTTTGTTGAAATCGGTTGAAAAATGTAGGTAGCCTTTCTGTAATCTTTTAGTTTTACAATTTATGATTTTTACTTATTGAATACAGTAAAAAAATTACATATTTTGCTTGTGGTGATTCATTAGTAGAATTCTGATTTGAATATATTTTCCACTCGTTGTTTCTAATACAAAAAATATTAAATTGATTTGGGTTTATTAATTATGATCTAACAAATCTTATTCATTTAGTAGCCTTTCTGTAAAAATAATCTTTTACAATTTATGATTTTTTACTTATTGAATACAGTAAAAAATTGGACACCATGTTTAAAGTAGTTTCCTGTTCGGTTATTTTTTTAGTTAGGACTTGTGTATGTTTAGATTTCATTATCTTTCCCTAAAGATAAAGAATTTATCCGATGTTTGTATTCGTACAATCAGTAGAGATCGTTAGATTATTGTTTAAGGTTGACGGACACGCATGTCTTAATTTTTTTTTTTTTTTTTTTTTTTTTTACGAATTGGTCAAACTCAAAAAAAAAAACATTGTTTTCAATCGTTATGAGTCTACTGATTGAATAGAATTTTATTATAAATAATTGTCTTGTAAATGGAATTTTTAAAGCATTCTGAAAGTTAAAAATAAAGAAAAAAGTGTGCAAGAGAATAAGAAACACTACCTGCAAAAAAAAAAAAAAAAAAAAAATCGGCTGAAAAAGTTAGAAATCCGCTCCCATATTTAAAAAATACACAAACAACCCGATGTGAGTTGTCCCCTTCCATTTTCACGATGTCTCTTAATCGTGTTTTCAAATTGATTTTGTGCAAAAAAAAATTATATTTTTCCCATTTTTGACGCTGTTAGAACCACCACAAGGTAATTTTATGTAGTCCTGTGAAGTTTTGTTGAAATCGGTTGAAAAATGTAGGAAATCGATCCAATATATAAACGTTAAAGACACACACACACACACACACACACACACACAATCTGCGTTTTATAATAAGTAAGATGTATTGAAAACAAATACTGAATTTCCTATTAAAAACGCCATAGAATAGAAAAAGAGCGCTATCTCAAGAACCTCCTGTTTAATTTTAATGAGATTTGGCACTGCACTCGATAGGGTATCAAAGTACAATATGTTCCTAAATTGGCTGGGGTATTACCTATCATTTGAGCTATATCTTGGGAACAAATATACATACATACAAGACTACAGTTTAGGATTATATAGACAAAAATAAAACCTGACATCAGTTTTTATTAGAAGCTGATCATGAAAGAAAATCCACTTTAAAATTAAAAAAAAAAAAAAATAAAGTATGCAATAATGTAAAGGGAAATTCTCTAAATTTTGTCCTATTTTGTTAATTTTATCAAAGTCAGAAATAAATTTTACTTTTCTCTCTTTTGGCAGGAACATATTTTTTGTGTTAAATCATTTTGTGAAAAAGAAATAAGATGAAGATTACAAAATAATTTTTTCTCTCTTTTGAAAAAAAGAAATGTTTTGTTTGAACTTAAAAGATAACCTTGTAAAAAGAATATGATAAATAAAAGTAGAAATAAATAAAACAAAAGAAATAATAAATTTTTATTTGGATCATTTTTTTCTTTCAGTGCTGGTGATGGAAGAACAGGGACTTATATTGCATTAGATATTCTTTTGGAACAATTATGGAAGAAACCAACCATTAATATTTTTTCATGTGTCAATCAACTTTGTCAGCAAAGGGCATTCATGGTACAAAACAAAGTATGTCAGAAGTTAGAAATTTTTTTGAATTTTGTCTCTTTTAAACTTTTCATTCATGTTAATCTTGTAAATTTATGAAACTCTTTATTGATCAATATAGAATAATGGATTCTTTTTTCTACATCTTTCATTATAAAAACATATCTTCAATTTAAATGTTAATCTAGTTGAACTTTTTCTAATCAAAATTTATTCTAACTCGAGGTAAATATCAATGTTTCTTTGTGATAAACTTTAAAATTATAGCATTTAATCATGATATACTTATGAAAAGCTTATATCATAAACTTAAGGTTATGAATGTATTTTACACCTAATATGAATTTTATTAAAAACTACTGAACACTAAAAGTGCATTACTCTTGTTAATTTTATATGCTACATATTTGCATTATAATCCATTTTGAAACAAAATTCTTTTAGGTATGAACATGTGTGTGACTTGGAATCATATGAATTTGCTGTTGTTGTTGCTGATGATGATGTTAGAAATACCAAGTATTATTATTATTATTGTCGTCGTCGTTGACGACGATAATAATAATAATAATAATAATACGACCTTGGTATCTAGTAGTCATTACTTTGAAATGGAGGACAACTCTTGTTATCAAAGATTCAACATTCATTTCTTCAATAAATGTCATTTAATTATCTTCCAATCTCTTGATAAGTTTCCCTCATGCTGTAATTATGAACATTTTTTTTAAATTTCTATAGATTTTTCTATTAACTTTCACTTTTAACCACTGAATCATAAAAATCTCTATATTTAATGTGGTTGCTTTTTAAAGTTAGACATACTAAAATATTATATCTCGTGCCAGATATAATAAACAAAGTAAACCCGAGTGTTGGTTTTCAATAATAGTTTTATAATCGGATGTAGGTGTGTTAATACAGAGACAGTCGAGAGTATGCTAACCTCAATAGGTGTGAACAAACGAAGACCTTTTCACTGTCCGCTATGGTCGTACTTAATCGGCAACCAGTCCGTCCATTATCGTGAATGGGGAAGTTGGGTATCATCACAACACCTCCCACCGAAGCTGAAATTCTCCCTTTTGAAAATTTCTGCTTCTAATGTCGTCTTCTTTTTGGATCCGGATTAAAACATCTCCACTGGTTTTCTTTCCCGTGTGCTCCTTCTTTTTTAGTCGTCACAATTAGATCCTTTTTGAGAAGATAATTTCCGCTTTTCAGCCCATAAGGCTGGTCCATGCGATACAGGTTCAAATACACTATTGGGTAGTGTCATGTTAAAAGCATCGCATAACACTTCCATCGGAATTTCTTCTTCGCTTTTTTCACTTTCTTCACCATATCGTGGTCTAATCTGATTGATGTGTCTTTTACACGTAATTTTTTACTTTTTAATCGTGTAGACCACTTTACCAATCCTTTTCTGGATTATGCCATCCGTCCAATAGCTTTTCCACTTTTAAAATTTAAAAAAAAAAACTGTCTCCTGAAGTGTATTTTTTTATGTTGACTTTTTTCCTTTTTCTTAGCAACTTTTTTGTTTTGATAGGGTAACAATCTATCGAAAATTGATCTAATTTTCCTTGCGAACATAATTTAAATCCGGTGACATTTTCGCATCGTTGTTCTCATTAGAGTTACCCTATAGATTGCTAAGAACTTCTGAATAGTTCTTTCTTCCGTGTCCATACCTTTATTTTTACGTAAAGCACGTTTAAAGGTGTCAACAAATTTCTCGGCTTGACCGTTCGACCTGGGATGACACACTGGATGTCGAAGTTATGTGTTCAATGTCTAAGGCAGTACAGAAAAATAAACTCCATACTTTTATTGAATATTAACAGATACCATTGTCGCTCACCAATGTCTGGGAATAAAACGACTGAAAATTTCATCCAATGCACTGATGGTGTTCCAAGATATAGGATGCTTGAACTGGACTACCTCAGGCCATTTCGATAAAAGTCCACCAATATCAAATAATAGTACCCATTAATTGGTCCAGCATAGTCTATATGTAGACGTGCCAACGGCAAATCCGTTTTCGGCCAAGGATTCATTTTGACCGGAGGTGCCCTTGCAGCCAATTGACAACCTCTACATAGTCTTACAAAACCTTCAATATCCTTGTTCATTCCTGGCCAGTAACGTAACCACGCATGAGTGATTTCATCGAGACATTCCAGGATGACCGGTATGAAATTCTTTCAGCATATCTGTACGTAGAGATTGAGGTATAACAATTCTATCTGCGTACATCAACGTGTTGTTAAAATTCAAAAAAGGTGAAATCTGAGTTCCCTTTTTCTGTCTTTTGTTCCTCTCGTCTGGTTCCTTAATTTCAGAATATAGTGATTTTTTTTCGGTTTTTTTTTATTTGGTCCAAAGTTACCGGCAATTCCTGATTGTATTCAACAAGAGACCTGATATTTCTTTTCCTCAGTTAATGCTGCTATAACCGTCTCTTCTAAAATTTCTTCATTTTTTGGAATCATATGACAATCCATCCGCATGCCCATGTTCTTTAGATTTGACGTATTCCATCCTAAAATGGTAATTAAGCAGGGTTACACCCCATCGCCGTAAGCGATTAAAAATATAAAAAAAGGAATGCCTTTTTAACCTCAAATATAATAAGTAACGGTTTATGGTCCGTTTGAAGTACAAATGATCTACCATGTAAAAGCGATGGTAGTTTTTTTAGCCTCTTTCTCGATCTGGCTATAATTTTTAGCCGGAAGAAAGTTTCCGCGATCGGTTTAAGTGCCATCTTCATAAAAAAAGCATTAAATGCACAAGTCGTCGTTGCCAATGATCTCTTTCCAACGACAAGTAGGCATTTTTTAAAAAAAAAACTTTTTGACCAAAACCATTTCTTGTCTTTTTCAACAATTTTAAGGGGCTCTTAAATGAAAAAAGAAACGATTGAGTTTCGAAACTGTTTGCAGGCATTTTCTTAATTGCATCGGCTCTCTGTGGGTCCGGGCCTTCACTGTCTATTACCTGTCCGAGGTATGTAATTCTTTCCATGAAGAATTTACACTTCTCGTGCTTAATTTAAAGCCAAAATCTTCTAGTCTTTTGAATATGCTCTGAATATTACCAAAAATAGCTAAATTGGGTACCTCGATCTTTGGCCTGCCAGCATATATATATTTTTGAAAAATCTTCCCAATTCAATTTTGAAAAAAAATTAAATATGTTGGATAATTGATGATTTTAGCAATCAAAAGAAAATAAATACCAATTTACTCTCTTATTTTGGAAAATGTTTACAGCGTTTTTCAATCTTTTAATTCATTCATAACAATCTGTTTATTACTTTAATTTAAACAAGATTCACTTTTCGACAGTTTTGAAAAAATTTATTATTATTTGAAAAATATCTTCTGGTGAAGTAGTGGATAATTGTATGATTATTTTATACAATCACTTTTAAACCTTTCTGAAAAATTTATCTTTTAATTTTTTTCTTAAAACTGAATATTTAGTCATTTTAGATATGCAGCGGGAACGTGTCTTTGAAAAAGGAATTTTTCTCTAGGGTTTAAAATTGGTGTATCTTTTTCTTTGAGTTCAAATTTGACTTCCGTATTTAGTACCTAAAACCCAATCCTCAGAAAAAAACTGGGATATTCTTTTAATTCATTTGAATTTTTTCATTTTACCATAATTTTTTCGTTTTTCTTTATATTTGTTCAGTTAGTTGCAAAATGAGTTAATCGGGAGTTCTGTGGTGGTACGGAGCAAGCGAAAGGACCGGATGTTAACAGGAGGTTTCAAATGGAAACTGGTCTTTAAAAAGAAATGGAAAAAAAAATAATAAGCAATTTCCACCAATAAAACAGCTCCGCGCCATACCCAACAGTTTGCTTCAGCAGACTGACTCTGAGCCGATGGGCACAAATAAATAGAGCGATAAATTCACTTTTGCAGAGAAAGCTTTGAAGTACCGTCAGAGAATGTCGCTACGCTTTCCTCACCCATCACCAGACGCCTCCAGCCTTCCTTCACCACCGGAAACCGTGAATGACTCCCTACCAACACTTTGACCTCACCTTTCATCCTCCTGTGACCAGCACGCCTTAAACTTAAGTATTAACAAAGTGACTCTTATATTCCTTTAATAATCCAATTTCTCTTATATGAATGAACATTTTATAACGGACTTTTTGTGCGTGTGAATCAAGAAAAATTGTACTATTCATTGATGTTGTATTTAATACAAATTGTTTTGATACACCCTTCTTTACACGTATGTTATTTTGTTTTTATGTATGGTGACCTCAAATTGATTGCTTGTTGAACCTTTAGGCCAAACTAGCGGCTGTCCCGAAGGACTGCTACTACTATACCTTCTGATAAAAGCAACAAGTAACAATTTAATATCCACTCTCCTCCATAAGTGTTGACCGCCGACGGATTTTAACACATATATATACACACACGCACAACAAAAAAAAAATTGAACTGTCACAAAATTAGAATTTTTATTCAACACAAACCAAAAACATGGCAATTGACGCTGAAGAAACTACAATTAATCAAAACCAACCAATCCAAACTGTTGCGATAAACCACCAAACTTCATTGAATCAAACGTGGTAGCTTATTTCGATAATGGGGCGCAATTTAATATTGCAAATATAAGACAGACCAGTCAAAAAATTTTTTAACACTTTGGCAGCTCTACCTGTGGAAATTAGGAAATATACAGCCAACTATCTGCAATCAAAAGATTCTAAAAGAATGCTTACGAGAAAAACAAAACCAAGATGCTTTATGTCGTCATCGACTGAAGGTCGTTCAGTATACCTGAATGAACTTTGTCATTAACAAGCCGAATTGCCATCGTCTCATAAATTTATTCAAGCCCTTTTTCCCCCATTAAACCAAGCTCAAGTCGATTTAGACCAGATCGTCTTGGAAGAATGGCGGATGACTTACTATTATATTTTAACAAACAAGACACCGCACATATTTGGACAGATTCGGGGAAGCAAAGGGATGAACAGCAA